TACTACGCTCTATATAGCAAACTAAACAACCATTCAAAAGATCTTCATCCATCCTATTACGCAAATCATTCTTTATGTACTTCATTGATGATAATGCTCTTTCCACGCTTGTGGTAGCAACAGGAATAATCAAAGTTAGATTCACAAGTGACCAAGTTTGATCTAATTTTGTCTCTATCATCACTCTTGCAAGATCCTTGATTCCTTCAAGTTGAGAAACTTGCTATCACACTTTTGAGCATAGACAATAAAATCATCGAGTTGAAAATTGAGTTCCCGAAGCCCTTTATCACCAAACTCACTTGAATAGTACTCGGCCAGTTTCATTATCTTATCCTTGTGAAAATTAGCAAATGAATCAACCGGACTCAAACTAGTCATACCAAGGAGCAAGTCACTAGTCACCACATCAAAACGATTATTGAGTTCTTGAAGTGCCAAATCAATGACGGCATAAAATACTCCCACACGAAAGTGATGCAAATATGAAATATTGGACCTTCTTACGCTTTGACTTCCCATTAGAGTAGCCTTCATTCATTTTGGGAATTGAAATACCATGTTTACCACAAAATAAGCTAACCTCATCCATCATAGAGTCTCATTCATCCTCTCTCATCATTTGCAATCATTTCTTTGAAAGGTCAAGCAATCCCATAGCATTAACGATATTTTGATCTTTCTTTTGTAAAACTTTATTCAACTCATTCATCAATAGCAACACCTTAAACATCAAGTGCAACATAAAGACAAATTCAAATTCATGAATCTTGCTCAAAAGATTTTCCGCCGCAAATCTATCAAGATGATATGGACAATCACATTTCATATCCTTAAGCACATTAACAATTGAAGAAAAAAGAATCAGGAAATTGTCCAAGGTTTTAATATGAGACCCCCAACGAGTATCACCCGATCGTTGGAGGCCACGTTCTTGATTCAAACCTTGCCCTGTATGAACTTCTCCAAATTTAAGCAACTCTTCCAACTTATCTTCTTGATATTGTCTAAGTGAATTTCTGCATTTAAATGAAGCTCCAATAGTATTCAAAATATTAGTCGAATTCTTTTTGGAAAGACCTACAAGTGCCAATTGCAATTGGTGAGCAAAACAGTGAATAGAATATGCAGATGACGTATCTTGTAAAATCAAAGACTTGAAACCATTTATTTCCCCTTGCATATTACTAGCCCCATCATATCCTTGACCACGTATTTTGGATGTACATAATGAGTGAACCAAAAGCAAAGAATAAATTGCCTTTTTTAATGATTGAGAAGATGTATCATTTACGTGGACAATACCCAAGAATCGCTCTATCACCATTCCACTTTTGTTGACATATCTCAAAATTAGAGCCATTTGCTCCTTATGAGAAACATCCTTTGATTCATCAACTAATATTCCAAACTAATCACCGTCCAAGTCTTCAATGAAAGCCTTAGTTGTTTCTTTAGCACAAGCCTCCACAATATCTTTTTGAATTGTCGGACAAATCATCATATCATTTTGTGGAGCATTACCTAATATTACTCTTCCCACATCAAAACTTCTATCCCCATACCATTTCAAAAGTTCAAGAAAAGCACCATTATATTCGGAACCTTCACTTTCATCATGTCCACGAAATGGAAATCACGATGTCAAGAAAAATCTTTCTACATCAATTGAGGCATTTAAACGCATCTGATAATCACTTCTTGCCTTTTCACTTTGCTTGTCAAAAGAAGATTGGATCGATTGTCATTGGTTTATCAAATCTTGCATCCTATTGAAACATTTATGATGGATACTATTTACCTTACCAACATGTTTTTTGAATCTTTCTAAAGCTTTGTTCCAACACCTAATACCAGCTCTTGTAAATGAATCTCCGATATTTCCACGACTTTCAAGTTCATTCTTGAACAAATAACAACACAAACAAAATGCTGCGTCTGCTTTAATGCTATATTCCAACCATTGAGATCTTCTCTTAAACCAAGTTGGTCGAAATTGACGCATTTTATCTCCAAACTTAGTTTTAGGGAAGATATGATCAACAGGTTGACATGGCTTTTTTTTAATGTAATACCTCCTTACCATATCTCGAATATTAGGACCATAAGATGAAATAGGCATTCGATCTTTGGGATCCGCTTCAAGAGATTTAAAATCAAGCATATTATCCGTATTTGAAAGTGGAAAAGAATTTATATGTCTTTGAACTTCCGGAGCAACTTGTGAACTCACAAATGGTTGATTAGAGCTAGAACTTGGTTGGCCATCTTTTGGCTTTGGTAACTTGATGAGAATCTTATCCATTTGTGATTTGATGATTTGAATGTAAGAATTATTTTACCTACAAAATTAAATATTCACACTTCTATTCAATCTTATCAAAACAAAATAATTTTTAAAAAATGTTAGCACAAATAACAAGTTTACTAGTAAAAGAATCACAATTATTAGATAACTATTTAGAAATCAAGAAATTCTTATAAATTTAATTATTCAAGCAATCAAATAATGGCACCACTTCATAAATCAAGAAAAACATATAAAACAAATGAAGTACATTAATAAATAATTTATTTATTTTTAGATAACATACCTTGTTACTTGTTCTCAAATCTCACTTCTACTTCACCATGAACAACAAAGTGGAATGATGCCAAAAGAAGAACAATATGATGTCTTTACTCTTTTTTACCTTTTAGTTTAGGGCTTTGAAAAGTCAAAAGAAAAAGTTAAAAAAAATAAATAAGAAAAATGTCTAAAGAAGGAAAGGAGAAAAAGAAAGTAAAAAATATAATTTGACTTTATTGACACTTCTAGCTTAAGGTCTAGACATAGCTAATACAACCTAAAAATATGGGTATTTGAACCTCTTTTTATTTATAAATTATTAAAAAGATCTATGAAAAGTGGCACATTTTGTTATATTAATTAAAAATTAAAAATATTAATGTGGATAGAAAAATTTAAACCACAAATCTATAAGTTATGCACCCCCTATTTGTACATACTTATCAATATACTAGATTACTCTTTTTAACCTTGGGTTCACCAATACAAATTTAAAAAGATAATTAGAAAAATAATAGTATTATATAGGGGTTAGGAAGGGGAGGATGGGTGCATGTGAACCCACTCCCCTTCATGTACATACGCCTCTGTGGACAATGCCGGAACATACAGCTGATCTAATGAGTTGTTGGATGAAAAGAGGGGGAAGTAAAAGTCAGAAAAAATGGTGGAGGATAATACCCTCTTGCATATGGTGGTCAGTTTGGAGAGAGAGAAATGGAAGGTGTTTTGAAGACAAAATCATATCAGTCCATAATGTGAAATGGAACTGCCTGGAGACTTTATTTTTTGGTGTAAACAGAATTGTATAGAGGAAATAGAGGAGTTAGTAGAATTTCTAGGAGCTTTGTAAAGCTAGAGTCTACTTGCTTTGTAACTTGTTGCTGATGGTGGCCAGCATTCCCAATGTTGAAGAATACAACATTACTAATCCTCAAAACTGATATAAGTGTCCTTGCAATCTATAGAAACAGAGAAGTTAGTACAATGTTTGGTTCAATATTTAAGAATACGATAAAGTATTTCTGGCAGCTTACTGGTGATTTGGGGGAATTAGGATGCCAAAGGATAGGGAGGAGAAGAAGAAAATAAAGATAAAGCTGGGAGCCTGGGTAATATCAAGAACAGAAAGATGAGAAAGAACGGAAAGAAAAAAATAAAGAGACTCTTTCTGTGAGCATTTGAAGTAAAAGTTGGTGGTAGACAGTAGGTGTGTTTGGTATGGAGTTTTCCATTTTTCTCTTGATTGGTCAATTTTTTTGGACAACATTTTCTCTAGGAAAACAAGTTGCTTAAAAATGAGAAAAATCACTTCTTTGGTGGAAGTAGTGAACACAAGTTCCATAAGTGGTATTCCACGTTGATTGTTTACTCCCCCTCCACATCTCCACCATCCCCACACCCCAACTACCCACCTCCATCCACGTCATATAATGTTTGTCGAGATTATATACTAATATGCTTTTGGGATAATATTTTCTGCTTGCTTACAAAATGCTAGAACATAAGAAAGCCACTTATGTTTGAGAACATTTTCCTCATACCAACCCCACCCCTTTCCCTTGCGCGCGCGTTCTACTCTCACATCAGGTGGTGCTTACACCTCTGCATAGTAGTGTGTCACAATTGTTTTTAGCAAGTTCTAAATTGTGTCAAGGGTAAGTAGTGCATGTACAACAGCCCAAAGTCTTTGAATTAATAAAGCATCACAATATCATTCAAACTAATCTTTTCCTTTTATAACTACATTTACTGTGATTCATTTTGCTTTACAACAGCCCAAAGTCTTTGAATCACATATTTAGAAGTGCAGTACCAAGTAATAATTGATGATAGCATCTCTAGTTTCCGTTATTGTCTCTCTATTGTATTGGCTCTCTATAATTGAATTACTTATTATGATAGATCAAGTTTCACATCTAATAACCGTTCCGATTTTCATGTTTGAGAGTTGTTCTCCAATAAATTATGTATGGAGCCACCCAGGTATGGATGAGTGAGTGTTATGGTTTCTTACCTGGTTTTGTGGTTTGGTTTAATAATATCTTTCGCCAATAAATTTACAGTGTGTCCTTTTGGATTTTGATATGGTGAATCTTACCCCACCTCCCCCAACATTCTGCCTAGAAATCTACAGTGGCCATAATTTGAATCAATTTTTTACCTTATCAATAAAAATAAATCAACAGTGTCCATTTCCCATTTTACTCCCTTGTGTGACTTGGAACTCCCAACCTTTAGATTTGAAGTGTTCTTGCCATCGGAGCAACCCTCACTGTCATTGTAAATTGGGACCACTCAACTATTATAAGTTGCCAAGTCCAGAAGCATTACCCTTTGGCCTCTCTTTTTAAATAAGTAATATAGCTATTACTTTTTGGTTGGCTATGGTTTTCCGCCAATCTGAGATTCTTGTGATTTTCTATTGCATATCACTTGGGATGAACCAGAAGTTCTGCAGCATGCTAACAGGGTGAATCCTTGGCAAGTTGAGTGTATTCTGCCAATCTCACAGTTTCTTCCTCCATCGAAGAAAATAAAACTGCCTAATGGGATGCTAACTGATGGAGAGAGAAGTCCCTTCCCTATGACAGGGTTGGGTAGCTTCCCTATGTCAGGATTGGGTAATCCTACAGTTGGACTCGGTAGCCCATCATTGGGCAATTGTACATCTTTTTCTGTGGGCATGCAGGGAGCCAGGCATGATCAAGTTTGTGTATCAAGTTTATCAAATGTTAAAAGCAATAACCTTGGGTTGTGCACAAACAATAGCTTAGATGAAGAAATTAAGGCAAAGCTTGACAGTGTATCCACCAAACTGAATATTGGCAGTTCATATTCAGACAATTTATCACCGGATAGTCAGAGCAGTGTGCATTTTGGGGACAATGAGCTGATTACAAAATCGGGTTCCAGCTCTTTGACAAATAATCGTTTTAGTACTTTCCAGTTATTTGGTAAGGTCATCCATGTTGAACGTATTGAGGCATTTTTAGATGGTTTTGGTTTCTCTGAAAGTGATAATGTTGAAGTGTTTAAAGAGATAGATGATCCATCCAACTCAAACGTCTCACCAAATAAACCTTTTGACAATCCTGATGTCCAACATGAATGAGCCTCAGCTGTTGAAGCATGTTCATTATGAGATAGCTATAGTCCGTAATTTCCATCAATTGCAAAGTTGTACAGGTAAAACACTAATTATCTGGACTATGCCTTGACGGAACAAATGAAGCCTATTAGAACTTGCAGATATATATATTCACTTTTTATGTTATATATCAAATGTTTTTTCTGGTTCATTTTATTTATGTGAGATTTTCAAGTACATATATTAGGAGTTGTCCCTCAAAATTTGTTTTCTAGTTTGGACTGCTTGTTAGGCTGGTGGAAATGAAACAGTGGCTACTACAAATACTATCATTATTCTTTTATAATAAGAACTAAAGAGAACTCCCATTTTTCACTTCTGAAGAGTAAGCATGATCCGATGATTGGGACATTTAATGCATGTTATTTCCAGTTCATTTTATTTTAATTCTGAAGAAGTGAGATTTTCAAGTACTAATCTTTGAGAGTTAAATTTTTTAAACTGAGATGAAATGCGAGGCTGGTGGAAGTGGATCACTGATTGCTACACTTGCTATCATTTTTGTGTTAGTAATTAGAATTAAAGAAAACTTTTAATATTCAATCTTGAAGAGTCTACATGATCAGCAGTTTGGGATAATCTGGTTACTGTTCAAAGGATTGCAAGTAACTTCATAAATAAAATTGAGATAGTGGAGTTTGAAAAGCTCTGTGTGGTTCCTTGGTTTGTGTTCTATTACATACAAAAGGTTATATTTGATCTGTGTTGTGTGTCATGACCTAGTGTGTTTTTGAATTAATTGTGATTTTGTGTTAGGCTCGTACTTTAGTTTGTTTTAATTGCTTCTTGACTAATGATATAACTTTTGGAACTTGGGACATGTCTTTTGTCATCCTAACCCTCTGTTATAGCTTTCGATTACAGTTGAATGATGATTATGGAGATGGATTCTTCATATAGCGTGCTCTGCTTGTAGTAACCTGTTTTTACTCTTTTAATTCTTTTCAGGTATCCAAGGGAGGAGTTGATTCCAGCAGTGGTTCCATTGTGGTTGTTTGCTTTCTCTTTGGTATTCAGAACTAATGTAGGCTTTAGTTTAAGACGTTTAGATGTCAAGTAAATCTGTGTTTTCTTGATAATGATGTCAGTGCATGAGATTGTACTCTATATGTTCCTGTTAGTACTGTGTCTTTGAAAAAGAATCTAATGTGGAGTTAGCCTTTTAGATGCAAGTTAGAATTTGCTATGGATGGTAGATGTTTCTTGATTGGGTTACAAATTTCTCATGGTATCCTATTTCTCTCTGTTTTGGCAACTTTTACCAGGTTTTAAGTACATCTTACAGTTTCCAACTTCACTAGTCACACATACATGCCTCTTTTACTTTCAAAATGCACACTTACAAATCCATCCCATTTGAAACTTTTAAACTGGGGAGGGATGGAGTTAGATCAACATATGCATTGGGTGACTTTTATTTATCCCATGAAATTGTGTTCATCGATTTGCATATATTTTTATCTCCTCAGCTTCCTTTTCCTCATTGCTTTATTTGAAGTTGTACATTATGCATCGAGGTGAAGGATGGTATTATCACAAAAGTACTCTTGTAGTCTGACTTAATATATATAGGAGTATATGTTACAGGTATTATTAATAATCATAATTATTAGTAGAAAACTAAACTGCATTTTTGGAGTGAAAAATGTTCATATATTTTTTGTGAAAATGTGTAGTTACACCTACCAATAAGCACCTAAACTTGTAGCATATTTATGGCCATATGAAGTTGGGGGTAAATGTCAACTTGTTGGGTTCCCCCTAGGATAAGACGGACATTGATGATTTCGTGGTGTCTTGGTGACCACTAAATATTGTTATGATTAGGAACCCAAACGTATTTTTGGGCGATGTACGTCAAATAGAGGGATTCGTCTTTGTCCTTGTTTTCTTGAGTAGTAGTTGAAGGCACGATGTTCTTAACAAAGACAAATATGATCTTTTAAGCACAAAATTGTTCCATGGTGAGACACATCATTCACACCGAAAAATCGTTTTAAAAACACCAAATACCCATTAGTTCGGTGGTGCACATTTTTTCGAAACCAAAAAACTGAACAAAATTTGATAAAATTAAACCGAAGAATTAACTACCCACCCATAGTTATGATCATTCTTAAAAATGAAAACACATAACTCCTCTTCTACTCAATGATAAAATGAGTTTGGGACAAGTCTGAATAAAAGAGGGGTTGGGCTCTTCTTTTTTTTAGCTGGGTCGGATCTAGAAAGGTTAAAAAAATGAACGGGGTAATATTTTCTTGTCACGTAACATTTTTGGAATTAAAAAAAATCAATTTAAAGAATTTTCTAATATGGTATATTAATGAATAATGATAAATATCCACCATTTGTTAGACGATGAGATATACATGTATCAATTCTTTAACAAGAGTCATATATCCACTCTAATTGCAAAGTTGAAGGAATATTTTCCCCTTTACTATAAAAAAGAACAAATGTTCAAATGGCAACATCCTTAGCAATACCTACCAACCCATTCCATTTAGACTGTTCATTTGGTGCAATATTTTTGTGAATCCCAAAATCAAATACAATTAGTGCCCAAAAAAATGTTACTCGCCTTCCAGATTTGCCTTATATATAGTACTAATAAATAAATGCAGACAACTCGTGTTAAGCACCGTTTTAAGCTTTAGCAGGACTGTGACGGCCACTAGTGTATTAATCAGAGATAAAACTATATTACATAGTAATATCTAATCACCAGTCAAGAATATAACAGTACATGATGGAGCTTAGGCCTACTGTTTAGTAAGAATGTCTCATAAGTTGTACGCGAAAAAAGGACATTTTAAGAACATATGCTCAATGATTTCATTTTCTTGATCTCACATCATAAATCATGTCAGTTTCAAGTAGCTTATATCCCGGGAAACCTGTGACTGGAAGAACTTCCCCTAGAACTTGCTGTGGAATCTTCAACCAGCAGCTTCTAGAGCAAACAACTTTCTTGCAATGACATAGTGTAACTACTTGAACTAGCATAGTGCCAAATCTGTCCATCCTTTCTACCAGTAAAGAAATAGGAAAGTGAAGAGTTTGATCCATCAATCTTGGACAGAACATACTGCGTAATTCAGAATTCAAACTCAAACAAACATCAAGGCTTCAGCAGCAGTTAAAGATACACACTGAGGTGAGGTATGACTTATGAGAACAGAATGAGCTTAAAACTGGAACTGCCCCACCCATCCAAACTCACACTAACATCATCATCCAGTTCACATCTTAGTCCTCTAGCTGACAGGTCCCTCACCCACATTGTACTCAAATTCAAGAGTTATTCAACATAGATGTAATCTTGCATAATGGATCGATCAGGGATATACCTAGATTTAACCACAGACAATATGTCACCTCATCTACTTCCTACCTGAATTTGCAAACCACAAATCTTCTAATACAAAGAATCAGGACTTCTGAAACCCGACCTCTTTTAGCTAAAGAAAGATTTCCTTACTGCTACCTAACATTATTCTCTCAGGCCGTTTTAGTTTGACAAACCTCAGTCATTAAGTATAGATACACCCTTCTTGGACTACAAACCATAATAGAGATTTCCAAATTAGCTTCAGAGCAATCAAGAAATTCCCCAATTGAGCACTTACAGGTATCTTTAGTTCTCCAAGGTGTCATTACTGAAAAACACATGAAGCTTCTTTGGATTAACCAATTAACCAAAATGACATATGTATGTAAAACCTGAGAGACATTACATTCCTCTACCAAAAATTAAAGAAGTCATATTAGGAAACAGGACGCAAGGCAACAGTGGAACAGCAAAAAGTGACGCCATTGTAGACCACCCTTCACAACTGGGGCCTTCTTTATTTTGTACAGCGCATGATGATATCCTATTAGGAAAAGACATTTTAAGGGGTCGTGATGGAAAAATTGATTTTCAACAGAGAAGAAATTTGATGAAGCTAGTGCTATGTTGCCGGATCAGTATTTTGAATCTTCAAAATGCAACATCTTATTTGAAGAAGAACAATTTGTGGGTTTATTTCAAAAGGCTTCAATCCAGATGCTCCAAAGAAACACCAAAAAGCACCATGATCCTTTACTTTAATGAGTCAGTTTCAGGCCAACCAGTTTGACAGGTAGTACATACAAAATCTTCTCTAAAGTACTCACAGAGAGGCTAAAAGGAGTGATGGCAAAACTGGTGGACTCACAACAAATGGCCTTTATTAAAGGAAGGAAAATCATAGATGCAGTTTTGGTAGCTAATGAAGCAGTGGGATCCAGACAGAAGCAAGGAAAACAAGGGATTCTTTGCAAACTTGACATAGAGAAAGCTTATGACCATGTCAATTGGGCCTATCTATTGGGAGAGCTGAATAGGATGGGGTTTGGACAAAAGTGGATAAAGTGGGTAAAATTTTGCATTTCCACGGTGAGTTTTTCAGTTATTATCAATGGCTCACCAACAGGGTTCTTCAGGACACAAAAAGGTCTAAGACAAGGTGACCCTTTGTCATCATTCTTATTCTTATTAGCAATGGCAGGTCTTAACAGCATGGTCAAAACAGCAAATATGCATGGGTGGTTAAGAGGTTTCAATATGGCTAGAGAACGAAGTGATAATCTAGAGGTGACCCATTTGCAATATGCAGATGATACCCTCATTTTTTGTGATGCAGATGAAGAACAAATCAAAATTTTGAGGGTGATATTGGTTCTCTTGTCTGGATTGCACATCAACCGGAGAAAGGGCTTTCTTTATCCGATTAATGAGGCACAACCATCAGGTGCCATCAAAACAAGAGCAACAATATCCAAAAGATGAAGATGAAGTGCTTAGTTTTGTTTCATTTTTGGTGTAAATAGGAGTATAGGGAAGATCTAGAATCAAGTATGGATGTCTTAGGATCATTGTAAATTTTTGCTAAAAGGGTTGAAGATCTTCTAGATACTCCTCCTCAATTGTAATTAGGAAACCTGTAACTTGTTGTGGCAGGTTTCTGTTTTTGTGGAAATAGAATACAAGTTGCTACCTTCTCAAAAAAAAAATGAGGCACAACCATGCAATCCCTAAATGCAATTTTAGGAGAAGAGATTGGTAGTCTGCCAACAGTGTACTTGGGTATGCCTTTAGGAGGAAAATCAAAGTCTAATGAAATTTGGAACAATGTGGTTGAAAAATGTGAGAAGAAATTGGCAAGGTGAAAAAGGCAGTACTTAGCACTAAGGGGTAGATTAACCCTCATCAATTCTGTGTTAAATTCCTTGCCAACTTATATGATGTCTTTGTTCCCTATACCAGCAACAATCATTAGTAGGCCGGACAGAATCAGGAAGAAGTTTTTGTGGCAAGGAAATAAAGAGACGAAAAGCTACCACTTGGTCAAATGGGAGTCTCTGATAATTGACAAGAAGTTTGGGGGTTAGGGGATAAAGAATCTGGTTCGTGGATACTCAAAGTAATGCACTCAAAATGAAATGACTATGGAAGTATGCCAATGACAAAGAGACACTGTGGGGGAGAGGCATAGAAGCTAATTATGAGGAGGAAAACAAATGGATGACTAAGGAAATTACAACTCCTTATAGAGTTAACTTATGGAGATCCATCAGAGAGATCTCTGGAATGAGCCGAAGTGCTTCTTCAAGATCAAGGTGAGCAGTGGGGCTAAAATCAGGTTCTGGAAAGATGAATGAAATGAAGAAGGCAATTTAGAAAGGCTATTTCCAGATATCTACTCATTAGTATTACACCAGCAGAGTTCTATAGCAGAATTATGGACAAAAGAGGGCTGGAGATACAATTTCAGAAGGCAATTCTATGATTGGGAAATACCAAGAATGGCAGATTTCATCAACAAGATTGAGCAATTTGGTGAATTGGGAGCAGATGAAGATGAACTACAGTGGAAGGGAGATGAGAAAAACACCTACAAAGTGAGCAAAGCGTACATGAAAATGAACCACAACCTGCAGCCAAGCAATTGGCCATGGAAGAACATTTGGAAAACCAAAATGCCACATAAAGTGGCATGCTTTGTGTGGCTTCTAGCAAAGGAGGCAATGCTTACCCAAGAGAACCTAATGAAAAGAGGGATAATTTTATGCCTCAGGTGCTTCTTGTGTAGGGAGCAGGCAGAGACTGTGAATCATCTATTCCTACATTGTAGAATCACACGACAACTATGGAGATTGTTTTTGAACCACAGAGGAATAACATGGAGCATTCTTGGGAAAATTACAGAGGCCTTAACAAGCTGGGAACAAGCTGGGTTGTTGGCCAAGAAACAGGTGGAAGATAGTCCCAGCAAGCATTTGGTGGACAATATGGAAGGAGAGGGATTCTAGGTGTTTTTAGAGCATAGAGAACAATATGCAACAGATTAAGCTCGATTACATCTTGCTACTGTGTTTTTGGTGTAATCAGTTACTTTTAGATGATCCTGTCTCTATTATTGATGTTTTAGACTCATTAGACGTAGGATCGTCGAATCATAGATGTAGGTAGTACTTTATAAATATGGGGTTACTACAACTCTTGTAACATTCAGATTCTAACATATATAGACAAAGTTACCAGTTTCAAACAAGTGTATGATCGAAATTATCCTACTTCAACTTTAACATATCAAAAGAGTATCTAATAAAGTTTAAAAGCTCATGTTGGAATTGAATTCACAACTCTTTTTTTAATAAACAGTACACCCAAGTAGTGTTTGATTAGGGTGTCTTCTGCCATGCAGAAATGCATACATTGTGTTAGATCAAAATGTATGAGTTATTACCTTCATGCACTTTTCTTGAAAATAGCAACACTGACAAAAGTGGAAAACAATGCCAGTAAAGCGCCATTTCTTGCGAGCATAAACTCGGTCCAGGTCAAGGGTTTGGTAATCTGAGTTAACACTTTCTGGAATTGCTCATGCAAAGCTTCCAATGAGCTGGTGTTATCAATCACAATATCTGCCTTTGACCTCTTGAGATCTAGGGACATCTGCGCATTTATCCTGTTTTTAGCCTCCTCCTCCATTGATTCATCTCTAATCATGAGCCGCTGCAGCTGTGTCTTAGGATCAACCCAAACGACAACAATGGGTTTAGTCCACTTATCCATCTTGGCCTCAAACAAAAGAGGAACATCAAGAACAATTATGGAGCAACCCTTTATCCACAGCTTCAAAACTTCCATTAGAATACCACGTGAGATAAATGGTGCTAGCAACCTACATAGACACAATCCCATGTTCAAAACCTTACATTGCAAATTTGCAACAAAAACCATTATGTGATCCTGCACCAATTCAAATCTTAGGCTATCTGATAAAATTAGGAAAAAATATTATTTAGAGTAAAGCAAGAAATTAACAGGAGCATCTATTCCGGCATGCATATGGTGGAAACTAGAGAAATGCTAGATGCTTTGAAGACAAAGGAGAGCCCATTGAGAAGATCAAAATGAACTGTTTACTATTGTTTTATTTTTTGTATAAACAGAGTTATATTAAGAGAGAAGTATTGAGAACACCCCTAAACTCGGCACAAATTATTAGTTTCATCCCCGACAATTGACAGCCTGATCTTGCAATATGAGTGAAATACACCCCTAAATTCTCGCCAAGTTTAGGGGTGTTTTCAACACTTCTCTCGGCTTTTTATTAAGAACCACATGCTCCTACAAGAGTTTGAGACCACTTACTATGTCATATAGCAGATCAGGGGTGTATCTAAGTTTAGTTAGACAAGTAGAGGGATGTTTTTAAGGCTGCCAATAGTTCGGGGAGGAAACTAATAATTTGCGCCAAGTTCAGGAGTGTTTTCAATACTTCTCTCTTACATTAATGATGCTGAAGCAGTGAAAAAACTTAGTCTCTTTAAGAATAGAAAGAAATGCATTTTTAGCAGTTTGTAAATACTTTTGACAGAACCTTCTTGGTGCTATCTTTATGAATAGTTACCTTTTCTCAACAAAAAAACAAAAATAGTAGCCTCATATTTTGTTATTTAAGTACAGTTTGCTGCTCCTTATCTTCTCCAGAGGCAGTATGCCAATGATAAAGCAAATAACTTCAACAGGACAACTTTTAGATCATTATTGCCATAAAACTATGATATAGACCATATTTAATCTTGAAACATAATATCCCACAAAGTTGACTAACTCATATGTTTGTTGTCGGAATTGTAATTTTGATCAATCAAATAAGCCTCATTCCCATTGTAATTTGAGCTTGGCTATATGGATCCTGTCTCTGTTCAGGCATATTTTATTCCACCACCCAATAAGTCGTCTTTTAAGACTACTACCTTTCTACAAACTGGAGTTTCTCTAAATCTCAGATGTGTCACTTAACTGACATCAAATCTCTAACTAGACAAAAAGACTATGGAAAACACAAGACCTGATATACATGTAGCAAAAACTATGCGTTAATCCTAAAAAGTGATAGAGTCTACACAGTGTTATTAAAGGAGAGCATCTCATCGCCTTAGGCGTGAGGCAAGGCAGGGTTGCCTCTGGTTGGCGAGGCCAGACAACTCTAAAAAGGAGATAAAAGGTGTGAGGCACCGAGAGGCGACTAAGGCGTTGCCTTTTGAATGAAAAAAACTGGCGGCTGTTTTTAGATTAAAACAAGAAATTTTTTGGGTTTCTAACTTTCTATCGACTTATGCTTACCTCAATAGTCGACTGAGCATGTCGCCTTTTTCACCTCTGTTTTCTTCAGCTGCAAAATCCAAAAAGGTATGTCTTCTATGTTTTCCTTTCTTTGTCTTCTTCTTTCTTCTCTGTTTCGGCAGTCTTTCTTCTCCTTTAGTTCTTATTTCTTCTTTCTTCGTTCTCTGTTTTAGGGTTTCTTCTGCTTCCTTTTTCTTCTCTATTTCTGACATTAGCCAAAGCTCCGTGCACACAGAGCTTCTTCTTGCTCCTTTTTTTTCTTTTTTTTTTGAGAAGATAACATCTGTATGTATTGACTAAAACAGTACATAGGTTGTACCGAAAATCATATTTACAATCATAGCAAAAAACAAGAAAACTAAATCCAAAATCCTAACAAGAGCCTAGGATATCTATGATAGAATCAGTGTCTTCTAAATATATCTGTGCGCACCAGAAGCAGAAGTCTCACACAATTCAGTTTACTCTTATGTGTTTCATTGCTGTTGTCTTCAAAATCCTAACAAGAGCCTAGGATTTCTATGATAGAGTGTCTTCTTAGTATATCTGTGTGCACCAGAAGCAGAAGAGTCTCACACAAATCAGTATAATCTTATGAGTTTCATTGCTTTGTCTTCAAAACACCTAGAGTTTCTTTCTTTCCATATTGTCCACCAGATGCAGGCTGGGACAATCCTCCATCCATCGCTGCCAACAACTCCTATTCCAGCATCCTCCCAGCTATAAAGAAAATGAGTAATCTTGCTTGGCATTACCCAAGCAATTCCTCTAAAATTAACAAATATTCTCCACAGCAGTAATCTGTTTTTTCGAGGAAAGGGTAACTATATATTCACAAAAACTCTCATCATCCAAAGTGAACACTTCCATCCCATAGGGCAAAAAGCAAGAAAACCATATCCTGTTTACACCAAAAATATAGCAGACTAAAGCAATTCATTCTGATTTTCTGAATTTTGTTGCTTTTATTTTCAAAGCATCTTGCATTACTTTCCTTCCACAGTGACCACTAGATGCTTGCAGGAATCAGTTCCCACCAGTCTTCCCCTGTTTCTCTTCTTCCAATACCTTTCCAGCATTTTAACATTCCTTTAGTGGTCTTTGGAACAACCCCAACTTACTCCAAGTATACACAAGAACATGTTCCACAGATTTGCAGCTGTTTTACAGTGAAGAATCACCCCATCATTTTTACCATTTCAAAACGAAAAGATAGATCACCCCATCAAAGTTCCCAATCACTACAACTTTTCCTAATGGTTATGTCCCAGCCATAGTCAGATCTAATGTCTTCAATTACTGCCTTGGCATTGGAGGAATATTTTATCTCTTTTGAACTGGTAAGTTTGTATTCTTCAGCATTAAGGATACGCTGGTCACCACCAAGAAGTTACATTACAAACCCCTATCAGATTTATAATTTGTTCAGTATCTTCTATACATAGCCGTTTACACAAAAAAAAGTAACGATACAATGCAATTCCATTTGACTTAATGAATGGAATTGGACCTATCTTCAAAAAATCTGGCATTTCTCTCCCTCCATACTGATTACTGACCACCATATACATGAGGGAATCCATGTCCACCATCTTTTTTGGCTCTTACTTACCCCTCTTCTAATCCAGCAGCTAAGAAGGTCTGCTGTTTGCTCAGGCATGAACCAGCTATAGCTAGTGATTTTGGAGGAGATATTTAAGAGTTAAGTATTTGCTTTCTTGGAGAGAATAACCTAACCATGAATCTTCCGAGAAGCTTTTATTCCATCCCCGACTTGAAAGCTACTGAGAGGGTGCAACTTGTTCCGTAGAGCTCTAATGTGCTTCTAAACTCCATGACAATGCAGGGGAGAGGGTTTTTTGTTTTTTTGATGAAATAAGAAGGATATCATTAGCAAAAGGCATCAAGAAGATGCAAGCATTACAAAGAGATTATCAGCTCCCAGGAAGGCCAAAAAAAAAGCTATCACAACTATCATAAGATTATCCTGTGTTAAGCAAGAACCATTAAGACTGACCCGGCTGGTAATCCCTTGGTTTTGGAGGTGACATTTTGGTTTATAATAACATTTTATCCAGAATGCATTCTCCAAAAGATTCAATGCAGATAATAGAACTATCCTTTCTTATGCATATGTAGTTCTTTTAGCACATTACTTTTAAGGCAATTACTAAAGCACTTTAACTTACACAGAATATAGTCCAGCAAGAAACAGCAATCCTGCAATTATCTTCACATGCCTTAATGAATGGAATAGCTTTGACCACAAGGCGTCTGTAGACCTTCATTTCTCAAAGAGATACTAATCCGCCAATACCAAAGCGATGATTACTTTTTATTGACCAAACTCAAACAATGACATTAATAAAAGTCTTTTTAATCATTTAGTTACAATATGTTTGATATGTAAAAGTTCAATTTTTTTAAAATCAAGTATGGTTTTCATTGATAATAACAAGGCCAACTTGGCCGTACACAAGAGATATACCAAGTATCAACTTGTAAAAGTTTGATATCTGTAGTGTTTACTTGTAGTTTCTATTTCTCTAAGTTCATCCCTAATATCACGCCAAAAGTTGGTTGATGGGGATTCTCAAGTTCAAGGCATGGAAGCAAGATGTCTCGTTTTTTTGGGAGAAAAAACTAAGTTCACTAGGAATCTCCAAAATCACCACGATGAAAGCAAACCAGAATAAACTCTAGGATGAAATTCTCCAGATACACAGTTTTTTCCCAGATGTCTCTTCCTTGTTGATGTTGCTTGGCGAAAATGAGAAAAAGTAAGAGGAAGTACTATATTTCTGCTTCTCTTGATATGGTATAACAAGTATCCAATTGAAATAGAAAATACAGGAATAATCAGCTGCCGATCTATTCCTTGCTGTTTTAACCTTTTGACATCACTTTATATCAGAGTAACAGTTAAGTATGCAAAATTAAATAGCAATAAACCAGGAATACTTAAGCAGTAGAATTTTACTCAGCAACTATGTCATAGTTTCATAATTATTTTACCTATTAAGAAGCTGACGTTTTTCAGGATCAGAGAATACTATTTGACCTAGCTTTGCACGATCAACTTCTCCATTATCCAGTAAGATGTCCTCACCAAATGTGGCCACAACCTTTTTCCAACCACCAGTTCCTTTCTTCAAAACGTTCTACAGAATTTCATATTTTTGTCAGTAAAGAGCTTGAGCTTTATCTGAGGATTTACAAAATTAAGCAGATGGAGGATCCAATAACTCAAGTACAGCATTTTAAGACTCTTCACATTTGAGAATAAACGAAATAGACCTAGTAATAGAATGAGAAAAGCAAGAAGAAGAAGTAGTTACACGAGCTACAATGTCAGCATCAACAACTGGAATACCATGAGCCTTGAAAAGATTGGAGACAGTGCTCTTCCCTGAAGCAATTCCTCCCGTCAGTCCAACTATCCTCATTCCTATATCGAGCACAAATCGAGTAATGAGGAACAACTAAGGCTGCTCAAATCAGTTGCTTCCTCTGCCTTACTATTCTATTGGCAAACTAGCTTCTTGATTCAAGGATATCTCCAATATCAATTATGAACTGAACAATAAGTTGCAGGTTCATTCCAACAAAAAATTGAACACACAACTTCTGTTGGCACCTTAAATTTATCAAGTACTATAAATTACAGATCCTATAGTGAGGTAGAAACATATTCAAGATAAAAGAGACAATTATGAACATGAAATTTAAATTGGTGGAGAGCACCAAACATAATGTAACGGCTGCACTTTCGTGCTAAGGTTTGAACCATTCGACATATGTGATTTTACCCGACCCGGAAATTTTTAATGATTCTTAGGTGTTTATAGGACCTATTTCTGATTGGTGAAGTGCTATGTAAGTCCAGAGTTGATTAAAGATTGAAAAGATCAGGTTTGAAGGTGTTAAACTATGTAGGGTGTGAAGTACGATCGTGTACAGGCCGTACCTTGCATCGTGGTTTGCCCATGGTGTGGAGAAGCAACAATTTAGCAAGGGAGGAGCCATGTACATACCGTACATGGAATGTACGGGCCATACCTTGGTCGTATCACACATAAATGCTCTGTACAGAAGTGGTGATAAAATCTTTACATGGTTCTCAAGAAAACATATTTAACCAGAACATTTATATCATTGCAGTACTGGAGAAAATGAAGCTGAGAAATTGAAAAGACATAAATTTTGTACCTCAAATATATCTCAATAGAGGTTCTACAACCAACATCATAAACTATGGACGAACAATTTTACTTGAGCAGATGACAAATAATATATTACTTAACAGAGTACAGTATAGAGATATTTCTTTTTTGGCAGAGATTGAATGAGTGTACCATCAAAGGTATAGAAAATTTGTTCATTTTTTTTCAATTAAGAACCCTAATGTAATAAACCCATAGATTCATACGGCAGTCAATCAACAGTTCTGTTTGACTAAGTTTTGAACTAATTCGCAGTGTGAAAGCAAGCACTTAGTTTGTTTTACTCAAATTCGATTTTCTAAAATGATATATTTTGGTTCAACTGAGTTACACTTACTCCCCTCTATCAAAGCCAGGAAACTATATGGCAAAAGTGAAGAATAGGCAAGGCCTATCGAACAATAAGAACTACTCTATTTTTATGAATTCAACCTTCAACTGTAAAAAGAAATCCAACATTCAGGTATAGTAAATTAGAAGTAGCTACAGATCGCAAGCTGTGATTTTTTCTTCAACTGGAGTAGATGCATGATGAAGAAAAACGAGGATGAACAGGTAAAGTTACTCTAACTCTGAGTATTTACAACGAGCAATTATTATGAAGAGAGAGAAGATTAGAAAAAAGCTAAATAATTAATTAAAGGCATCAAAATTGAGGCCGAGAGAGAAATAGTACCTTGACGCTGGTCGGAATCACAGTCGAAGTCGCCGGCCGGAATCTGGTTGAAGTCGCGATCGATCACACTCTCAGTCAAGTTCAGAGACAGAGGTTAGGTTACTCGCTTGAAGTGAAGAATTTTGGGACAATGGAAATGCAATTTTTTTTAAAAAAAATATTATTGTATATTTTATTTTTTATCTAAAAAAAATAAAAGCCTAAAAATATGGCAAGGATAGATCCAAATTATATTATATTAACATATGATCTAAATTTTGAGAACAACGGAATAGATTGAAATTGGAATTTTCTGTTCTCATCCTAAAACTCTCTGTGTTCAGAGTTAGAGGAGCAACAGCTATTGTATAGCAATTAGGGGTGTTCATGGTTTGGATAAAAACCGATTCAAACCGAAAAACCAAACCAAACTGATTAAATGAACCGATTTAATTTGGGTTTTGGTTTGGTTTGGTTTTAGATTATTAAGAACCGATAGTATTTGGTTTGGTTATGGTTTTGTTCGAAAAAAATCGAAGAAATAACCGAACCGAACCGAACCAACAAGTTATATACATAAATTTTATCATTATACATACATAACATATTATATTCATAAACAATTTTAAAGATTTTATATATGTTTCATCAAAATTTATTTATAATTTACTTATGAAAGAAAAAATGTCCAAGGTGAGAACAATTTTCTTATTGGTTTCATGTATATAAGCGTCTATGGAAATTCATTGTGGGACTGAAAATGTCATTGTCTCTTCCTTCTATGCCAAAATAGTGAATTTTGAAGTTTCATCCAGTAAATTCAATGATCCAAAGTTCTGTAATGCCAATCATTCTAACTATTTTTTCGTTTGAATGGATTGTTGTCACTTTTTTCACGTTTTGAATGAATTGTTTCTTTTATTTTTATGTATGGTTAATAACCGAATAACTGAACCAAATCAAATCGAAACCGAAAACAACCAAACCGATAAATATATATTATATTTGGTTTGGTTTGGTTTTGATAATTTTAAAATCGATTAAGTTGGTTTGGTTTTGATTTTTACCAATAACCGACCCAAACCAACTCATGAACACCTCTAATAGCAATTGTTAACGTGAAATGACCAAAATGCCCGTTGGTCGGCAAGCTGGCAAGACACCCGAGAGGTGCTTGTCAAGCCGCTTGTGTTTAAAAAAATAATATGATCTAAATTTTGAGATTAGATAATAAATATACATATGATTATCTATAAATTTTAAATTGAAGAAATGTGAATAATTAGATAAAAGAATTATAAATTCACAAGTAAACAAAATAATATATTTATTTTATATTAATAAGAAGAGTATTTGATAATTATATTAAGACGAGTGATTAACTAATAAAAATTAATGTTAATAATCTAATAATGAATAATACAGTAAAGAAAATATAAAATATAAAAGTTATTTGGTAATATCATTTCTTTTATTCATATAGAATTAATTGTGGAGGAGAGGGAACATAATATAAATTTAACATGTTCGAACAAGATATCATAATTTGAAATGGTTGAAAATAATATTTAAATGTTAATCATGCATCGCCTAGCATAGGCATGTATACTAGTTTTAACATATGATGTAAATTAAAGCCACAAAAATGAGAAGAAAACTTGCACAAAACGACTAAGAGAAGAAAATTATTCATGAAATTTTTATTTATCATATATATAGCGATATTTTTCATATTTATAAATTGTAGTACTATTTTTTTTAAAAAAAAAAAAAGTGACGTGTAATATAGTGTATTAGACACGTGAGTACATTGTATCACAGATACAAAGACAGTAAAAAAGTAAAAAAAAATTGCAGGGAGCCGAGCATGATTAAGTTTGTGTATCAAGTTTATCCAATGTTAAAAGCAACAACCTTGGGTTGTGCACTAACAATAGCTTAGATGAAAAAATCAAGGCAAAGCTTGACAGTGTATCCACCAAACTGAATATTGGCAGTTCATATTCAGACAATTTATCACTGGATAGTCAGAGCAGTACTGTGCATTTTGGGGACAATGAGCTGATTACAAAATCGGGTTCCAGCTCTTTGACAAATGATCGTTTCAGTACTTTCCAGTTATTTGGTAAGGTCATCCATGTTGAACGTGTTGAGGAAAGTTTAGGTGGTTTTGGTTTCTCTGAAAGTGATAACATTGAAGTGTTTAAAGAGATAGATGATCCATCCAACTCAAACATCTCACCAAATAAACCTTTTGACAATCCTGATGTCCAACATGAATGAGCCTCAGTTGTTGAAGCATGTTCATCATGAGATAGCTATAATCCGTAATTGCAATCAATTGCAAAGCTGTACAGGTAAAACACTTATTATCTGGACTATGTCTTGACTATTCAGATGGAGCCTAGTAGAACCTACTGCAGATGTATATCTTCACTTTTTATGCTATATATCAAATGTTTTTTTGTGGTTCATTTTATTTATATGAGATTTTCAAGTACAGATATTAGGAGTTGTCCCTCAAAATTTGTTTTATAGTTTGGACTGCTTGCTAGGCTGGTGGAAATGAAACAGTGGCTGCTACAAATACTATTATTCTTTTATAATAAGAACTAAAGAGAACTCCCATTTTTCACTTCTGAAGAGTAAGCATGATCTGATGATTGGGACATTTAATGCATGTTATGTCTAGTTCATTTTATTTTTAAGTCTGAAGCAGTGAGATTTTCATGTACTAATCTTAGAGAGTTAAATTTTTTAAATTGAGATGAAATGCAAGGCTGGTGGAAGTGGATCACTGATTGCTACACTTGCTATCATTTTTGTGTTAGTAATTAGAATTAAAGAAAACTTCTAATATTCAATCTTGAAGAGTCTACATGATCAGCAATTTGGGATAATCTGGTTACTGTTCAAAGGATTGCAAGTAACTTCATAAATAAAATTGAAATAGTGGAGTTTGAAAGGCTCTGTGTGGTTCCTTGGTTTGTGTTCTATTACATACAAAAGGTTATATTTGATTTGTGTTGTGTGTCATGACCTAGTGTGTTTTTTAATTAATTGTGATTTTGTGTTAGGCTCGTACTTCAGTTTGTTTTAATTGCTTCTTGACTAATGATATAACTTTTGGAACTTGGGACATGTCTTTTGTCTTCCTAACCCTCTGTTATAGCTGTGTTATTACATACACAGCTCTTTTTCTAATAAACAGTACACACAAGTAGTGCTCGATTAGGGTGTCTTCTGCCATGCAGAATTGTGTTAGATCAAAATATATGAGTTAATACCTTCATGAACTTTTCTCGAAAATAGCAACACTGACAAAAGTGGAAAACAATGCTAGAAAAGCTCCATTTCTTGAGAGCATAAACTCAGTCCAGGTCAAGGGCTTGGTATCTGAGTTAACACTTACTGAAATTGCCCATGCAGAGCTTCCAATGAGCTGGTGTTATCAATCACAATATCTGCCTTTGACCTCTTGAGATCCAAGGACATCTGCGCATTTATCCTGCTTTTGGCCTCCTCCTCCATAGATCCATCTCTAGTCATGAGCCGCTGCAGCTCTGTCTCAGGGTCAACCCAAATGACAACAATGGGTTTAGTCCATTTATCTATCTTGGCCTCAAACAAAAGAGGAACATCAAGAACAATTATGGAGCAACCCTTTATCCACAGCTTCAAAACTTCCATACATACCA